CTGACAACCTGGGCCTTGGGACTAGGTGGGGGCTGTTGGAGTGCTGAACCTTTTGTCTGTGTAAATGGCAGATACGGAGGTGGGTGAGCAATGGCTGTTTGGGTCAGAGGAATCACACCTAAATCCTTGAGAGCTGTGGAGGGAGAAAGGGGTCTGAAAACAAAAAAAGGAGAGAACAGGGTCACACACAGTACGAGGGGGCAGGAAAGCAGCATCATTTTCAGGAAGAGGAAGCTGAGGATTCAGGTGCCTGTGTCTTTTGTTTTCCGTTTTCCTGCTTCTGTTTTTTTTTTTTTTTCTGGGTTATTTTATAACACTTCTGTGTCCCAGCTTTTTTACAAATCCCTGCCCCTCCGCCTCCTCCAAGGGAAACACTATTGTTAAGGAAAGCTTTAGCCACGTGACAGAGTGGGCTCTGCACTTACAGCTGATTATGTCAGCAGCTGCTTGGTGGCCTCTTCACCTGCCATCTAGGTTTCCAGGGAACCCTGGAAGAACTGCTCAGCACAGGTCTGGATAGACCCAGACTGGCACGTTATTCCTCCAAATCAAGCCCCTGCTCTCTTTTTTATGAATCAGTGCTCTACTTTTCTTTTTAAAATTGTAATTTGTTGCTTCCCGTCCTCCCGAGGCTCCCTCTCCCTTACCTATCCTTGATAGAAACAAAGTCATCATGTTTAGCGCCAGTCTGCTGTGTGTCAGGTCCTGACACAAACTGACTGACTTGCATTACTGCTGAGAATACAGTAAATGAGCTGGATGAGCTTGCTGCTCGAACCTTAGCTTGCTTTTCCGAAGCCGCAGGAATATAAAGAAAGCCCTTGCCACCTCATCTTTTTCTGCCTAGGGCCTCAACTGCCCTCTCTGCTGCCCCTTTGTAGTCCTGGTTTCCTGTCCCCCCCACTTGTGGGGCAGCCCTAAATGTGGGTGGCTGCATCCTCTGCAGAGAGGCAGCGCTAGTCACCAAGTAGGCTGTCTGGAGACCTTTTCTCTGATTGGCCATCGAAGCACCTGCTTTTGTTTCCTTTCACAGTAGCCATTGGCTCTCGCTGCCCTTTCCATTATCTGTGTCCTCCCATCACCCACTCACCCCTTAATGACACGTGGACCCTCAATTGCCCTTCTCCCAGAATCTGACGTGTCAGAGGAAGGGATTAGATTCTTTATGACAAGGTTGAGGGAGAAGCCGGGGAATATCAGTCTAGATTTTCTCTCTCCCACTTCCCATGGGTATCAGACATTTCATTCAACTGGCTCCAGGACAGGTGTCTTGTTCTGCAAGGCTGGTCAGTTCAGGAAGTAGGTTTCTCTTGAGCGCCCACTGTGGCCCACACGTTTTCCCTGAAAAGGGTAGCTCCCCGTCTATCACTTCCCTTTCATTATTCACTGCGCCGGGCATCCTGAGCTCATTGGCTGACTGAGGCCCTTCAGCCCAGCACCAGCACCCAAGTCCACGTGCAAGGATGTGTGTGACACAGCCCTGACCTCAGTGGGAGCTAGTAGCCAATCGGGTGCCAGGGAGAGAGCCTTAGCCAACTGGGGGCGGGGCCTGCGGCTCTTTGGGCAGAAGGCCAATGAGGGGCAGGGCCTGGCATTATGCAACCCGCCTCCCAGCCTCTCGGAGCTTCTCGGTTGCGGGCTGAAACGGCAGGCTCCTGGAGGGCGCTCGAACGGCCAGGTAGGGATCTCTGCTGCAATCCTAGGGCTAGTCTTTGTCCCGGAGCTTGGCTACCACTACCTCCAATGTGGTGGGTCACTTTCAGCTCTGACTGCTAGAATAGCAAAACCGAAATCCGCCTTTCTTGTTACTGTCCACCTTTCCTCGCCCCTGGGACCCTTAGGTATTCTACTACTCAACCCTTCACGGGTTGTTTAATTCTTATTCGCTCACCTTACCTCCTGCTCTGTTTCTCCATCGCAGCCGTTCTAAGCCCAACAACAGACCGTTAGCGAGCATGGCTCCTTACCCCTTTCTTGTCACTTGGGGGTCCTCGGGTTTGCCCTGGCACAAAGACCCCTTCTGGTTTTTGCTGGCCCCGTCCTTCCTCCGTCCAGTTCCTGGCCCCATGCCTGTCGTGATGTCAGCCGCTTCATGCTGGAACATCCTGTTCCCAGCGCTAGTTCTTGCTGTTGGCCACAGCCTTCCCTTTTCTCCTGGTGCTCAGAAAATACTTGGGATGGGGGTGTGGTTAGACAGGGAGTAGAGGAAGAACTGTATGTTGTTGGTTGTTGTGTCTTCTCTACCTAAGGTGGTAGGGTTAACTAGAAAAGTAGGAGACTGGGGAAGATGCCTGGGTCCTTGCCTATGGCAGATGGTAACTCTAGTCCTGATGTTTGGGAGTGGACAGGGACCCAAAAAACAAAAGCAGTGTCTTGATCAGAATGATGGATCAAGGCAAGAGCTAGGACGGGGGCGTTTCCACAGAGAGCAGAGACTGTATTTCTCCCGGGGGAGGCTAGGATCTGCTCCTAGAGTCCCTATAGTTCATCTCTCTTCACATGGCTCCTGGGCTCTCTGGGCCTTGGGAATTTGTTAAGGTGGGTGACTCCTGGGCCTTGCTAGCCAGTATGGAGGGTGGTTTGGCCAGTATGGGAGTGGGTCGTTTTCCACTTCCACAGCAATAGGGGTGGGGGGAGGTGTCTCTCCTGCCCTCCTGTGGTCCCTCCAGCAACCGCTGAGCTCAGCGGCTGACGTCGGTTTCCCTGGCGACCGTGGCTGTGGCGGAAGCGCGTGGTGGGGCCAGGCACATCGATGCGCATGTGCAGCGGGGGTGGTACCGCCCCCGGATAAAATTAGCCCGGAAGCCTAAATATAGGAGGCGATCAGCTCACCCCCTGCTCCGAGAGGCCTCAGAGTCCCAGACCAAGTGGGGACCTGATGAGAATTTGGGGATTGGAAACCTGCAAGCTTTGTCCCACAGCCATAGTTCTAGTTAATCAGGCTGTAGTCACTTCACACTGGCAGGGGGCGCAAGAGAAGGCTCAAGAGAACTGCCTTCCTACCTGTGGTATCCTTAGGGGGAGCGGGAAACAGAACTTAGCTTCTTCCTATTACAAGCCCCAGGCTTGAGTCCCATCAGTGAGGGACAGGCAGAGGAAGGACGGAATGTAGCCAACAGATGCTGTGCGGTTAACAGCTCAGCTTTGCTAAACCTTACTTCTTGGTTTCTTTTTCTAGGTGCTGTGATTAAATTAGTCAGCTCTCAGAGACAGACAGCCTACCTCTCTTATCCAGGCCTCAAAAGCCCCGTTGTGCACCCGTGGTGGCCTCTTCACCTTCCCTGTTTTGTCCTCCACTGCATGGCCCAGACATGAGTGGCCCCCTAGAAGGGGCTGAGGGGGGAGGAGACCCCAGGCCCGGAGAACCTTTCTGCCCTGGAGGAGTCCCATCCCCTGGGGCCCCACAGCACCGGCCTTGTCCAGGCCCCAACCTGGCTGATGACACTGATGCAAACAGCAATGGCTCAAGCGGCAATGAATCCAATGGACATGAGTCCAGGGGTGCATCTCAGCGGAGTTCTCATAGTTCTTCTTCTGGCAATGGCAAGGACTCAGCCCTACTGGAGACCACTGAGAGCAGCAAGAGGTGTGTGTGTGTGTGCACATACTGCATAGTCCAGAAGTGGTCTGGTGAGCTAGGTGAGAGCACGGTGCTGTTGATCACATGGCCCTTACCTTGGGCTGTTGCTTCTTTTCTAGTACAAACTCTCAGAGCCCATCCCCACCAAGTAGTTCCATTGCCTATAGCCTCCTGAGTGCAAGCTCAGAGCAGGACAACCCATCTACCAGTGGCTGCAGGTGTGTATCATGAGGGCTGTGGGAGGTGCCTGGGGATGCGGGCTAGACTCTGGGGCTAATGTCTTTACCCCTCTGTTCCCTGTGGGCCTTGCAGTAGTGAACAGTCAGCTCGAGCCAGGACCCAGAAGGAACTCATGACTGCACTTCGGGAGCTCAAACTTCGACTGCCACCAGAACGTCGGGGCAAGGGCCGATCTGGGACCCTGGCCAACCTTAAGTATGCCTTGGCATGTGTCAAGCAGGTTCAGGGTGAGTGGTGCTTCCTGGCAGGGTGTGGCCAGGGAGTGGACTATTGTAGGTTCCATTCTCCTTACTGAGTATGGCTTGAATACCCTCGTCCACAGCTAACCAGGAATATTATCAGCAGTGGAGTCTGGAGGAGGGTGAGCCTTGTGCCATGGACATGTCTACTTACACCTTGGAGGAACTGGAGCATATCACATCTGAATATACTCTTCGAAACCAGGTCAGTTGCAGCTTGGGTCCTCTGTTCTAACACACCCTCATCCCCATTCTTGCAGCTCCTAATCTTCTCTTAATCTTGGTCTCATCCTAGGATACCTTTTCTGTGGCTGTGTCCTTCCTGACAGGCCGGATTGTCTATATTTCGGAGCAGGCAGGTGTCCTGCTGCGTTGCAAGCGGGATGTGTTTCGGGGTGCCCGCTTCTCAGAGCTCCTAGCTCCCCAGGATGTGGGTGTCTTCTATGGCTCAACTACACCATCTCGACTGCCCACTTGGGGCACTGGGACCTCTGCAGGTAAAGCACCCTTGTACTACACAGAGGGCGGAACAGTTCAGGAAGCTTCTGCCATGAGCAGCCAGGGTCTAAGCTTTCATTTCCTGGGTTCTTCTCAGCTCAAGAAAGGGATGGCACTGTGCTTACTGTCACTGTCATCTGTTCTAGGTTCAGGCCTCAAGGACTTCACCCAGGAAAAGTCTGTCTTCTGCCGAATCAGGTAGGTAGGAGGAGAAGAGCAGGCCTCTCTCTTTTATTCATTCCTGTGATCTCTGTTATATGGGCTGTGACTTTGACAAGGGGGTGGGCAACTTTCCACTGGAAGCCTCTAATATTCATCTATCCCTTGCCAGAGGAGGTCCTGACCGGGATCCAGGGCCTCGGTACCAGCCGTTCCGTCTAACTCCATATGTGACCAAGATTCGGGTCTCAGATGGGGCCCCTGCACAGCCATGCTGCCTACTGATTGCAGAGCGCATCCACTCTGGTTATGAAGGTGGATAGGCTAGGGCCCTGGCCTGGGGGATGATGGGAGGAAGGTTTTCCCTCTAGGATGGGGTGAAGTTTAAGATGAGAGTCTGGGAGGCGTGAGCTGGGTCTTTAGGGTTTAGGAAGAGGCTCAGGCCCTGCTAGTAGGTAAGGTAGGATGAGATCCCTAAGCTGTGATTCTCAGTGTCATCTCTGCTGTGAGTCACCAGATGACTCAGACTCTCCATGGGCCATAAAGCCAGGTCTGAGCTGAGAGGAGGAATGCTGGACAGCCAAACCCTAGGCAGAGAGGAGGGCTGAGGAGCTAGACCTTGAGGATGAAACCTTCGTGTTCTGTGCTGCAGCTCCCCGCATCCCTCCTGACAAGAGGATCTTTACCACGCGGCACACACCCAGCTGCCTCTTCCAGGATGTGGATGAAAGGTAAGGTAAAGACTTGGAGGAAGGTGGGTAACCAGGGCTAGCTAGGCCATGGTCTGACGCCTCCTCTCATGCAGGGCTGCGCCACTGCTGGGTTACCTGCCCCAGGATCTCCTGGGGGCTCCAGTACTCCTCTTTCTGCATCCTGAGGACAGACCCCTTATGCTGGCCATTCATAAGAAGAGTGAGTTCTCATCTTGCTGCCCCCGCTTGTCCCCCTGGTTTCTTAGCTGCCTTCGTGGTGGTGTGTCTTGATGCCGTGGTCTCTTGGATGTTTGTGTGTCTATCCCCACTTTATTCAGCTCTCCCAGTCACTAATACCACTGTCTTTCCTGTTCTCATAGTTCTGCAGCTGGCAGGGCAGCCCTTTGACCACTCTCCTATTCGCTTCTGTGCTCGGAATGGGGAATATGTCACCATGGACACCAGCTGGGCCGGCTTTGTCCACCCCTGGAGTCGCAAGGTGGCTTTCGTGTTGGGCCGCCATAAAGTACGCACGTAAGTGTGTCATGTCTCTGACCTGGCATTGGGAATGGGCAATATGATAGGATTAGGGAAAGGGCTGTATTCACCCTCACTGTCCTGCAGGGCACCCCTGAATGAGGATGTCTTCACTCCCCCGGCCCCCAGCCCGGCTCTGTCCCTGGACTCTGACATACAGGAGCTCTTAGAGCAGATCCATCGACTACTGCTGCAGGTGAGAGCTGGGGAGGCCTCAAGAACGAAGTGGTCAGGGAGTAGGGTCTGGACATCTAACCAACCCATCCTCCTCCTTGCTGCAGCCTGTGCACAGCTCCAGCCCTACAGGGCTCTGTGGAGTTGGTCCTCTGATGTCTCCTGTTCCTCTACATAGCCCTGGCTCCTCCAGTGATAGCAATGGGGGTGGGGCTGAGGGGCCTGGGCCTCCTGCTCCAGTGAGTAACTTCATTTCATGTTACCTTTCTCCTTGTCTACTCTCTTGGGAAACGTTGCCAGTCAGTCCCTCATGCTACCCCTGCCTAGGCTCCCAGGTCTTCTTCCCGACACTTAGGCCCCAGGCACTGGCCACCCCAATGCTGCCCAGGGTTCTGCTGTCCCACAGGTGACTTTCCAGCAGATCTGTAAGGATGTGCATCTGGTGAAGCACCAGGGACAGCAGCTCTTCATTGAGTCCCGGGCCAAGCCTCCCCCTCGGCCCCGCCTCCTCGGTAAGTTGGTAAAATCATAGAGCAGGGATGTGGGTTAAGGCCTTACGTTCCCCTTACACTCATTCCTAGCCCATTTTACCTTTTCCTTTCCTTGTCCCAGCTACAGGTACACCCAAGGCCAAAGGCCTTTCCTGCCAGTCCCCAAACCCCGAAATGGAGGTGGCTCCTGCTCTTGACCAAGCCCCACTAGCATTGGCCTCTGAGGAGCCAGAGAGGAAAGAAGCCTCCAGCTGTTCCTACCAGCAGATCAATTGCCTGGACAGCATCCTCAGGTAAGGTCTGCTAGTTACCTTCTCCCTTGGTCCTGCCTTGCCAGCCCTAGGCCCTGCCCTAAAACCCTTTGCTTCATCCATCCCCAGGTATTTGGAAAGCTGCAACATTCCCAGCACAACAAAGCGTAAATGTGCCTCCTCCTCTTCCTGCACTGCTTCCTCAGCCTCTGATGACGACAAGCAGAGGGCAGGCCCAGTTCCTGTCGGGGCCAAGAAAGGTAAAAATGCAGTGCATGCCTGGCTCCCGTTGCCCTTCCTGTCCTGTTAGTGCGGGGCCTATACATTTCTGCCTTGGGGGCTCCTGCCTGCTATTCCTGGGCCTCCTTTCCTGCCTCCTGATCTCCAGGTTCCTCCCTCTAGCCAATCCTTTCCCACTCCACCCTGGGATTCCCTTTCCTGACCTTCCAAGGGGTGGGGGTGGTAACCAGTGCCATCTCTCCGCACAGATCCGACGTCAGCAGTGCTGTCTGGGGAGGGGGCCACTCCTCGGAAGGAGCCAGTGGTGGGAGGCACCCTGAGCCCGCTCGCCCTGGCCAATAAGGCAGAGAGCGTGGTGTCTGTCATCAGTCAGTGTAGCTTCAGCTCCACCATCGTCCATGTAGGAGACAAGAAGCCCCCGGAGTCGGGTGTGGGGGTGGAGTGAGGGGGGTATGACTGGGCCCCACTTGGTCCCTCAGCCAGAGCTCTTCCCTTTCCCCCCTCCCCCCCAGTGGAGAGAAGGAGGTTACCTTCTTAGCTTGGGGCTCTACTGCTCCTGACTGTTCACCCCACTAACTTCTGCTTGCCCCTCCCCCATTCTCCCTCCTGTATTCTTACTGTCAGTTGAACCATAAAAGTTGGATATAAGGGGAGGGGGTCCAACACTGAGATGTTGACCACTAAAGCATGGAATATGAAGACTCCTCAGGGTCTCTGGGTTGACTTTAAAAATGTGTGGAAAGCAAGATGTGGGCTTCCCTTAGGAGGAGGCTGTATCACCCCAGGGGTTCCTGGCAGGGTCTTAGCTGTGGGTGGAGAGTGAGCATCCTCTTTTTCCTGGGTCAGTTTTGCATGGGAAGAAGAGTCCAGGTCTAGCTTCTGGCAGGGAGGTGGCCTTGAGTACCTGGGGTCCCAGGCCTTGGGTAGGGAGGTTGTAGCGTGGATGTGTTGACCCCTGAGATGTTTCTCATCACCTTTTCCCCATCTCACCTTCCTTAGACATCATCATGATGGAGGACCTGCCTGGCCTAGCTCCTGGCCCAACCCCAAGTCCAGCCCCCAGCCCCACAGTAGCCCCCGACCCAGCCCCAGATGCCTATCGTCCAGTGGGTCTGACCAAGGCTGTGCTGTCCCTGCACACCCAAAAGGAAGAGCAAGCTTTCCTCAACCGCTTCAGAGACCTTGGCAGGCTTCGTGGACTTGACAACTCTTCTGTGGCCCCCTCAGCCCCTGGCGAGCGAGGTAGCCACCTGGGGCTTCCTTGAGCTGCCTTTTGCACAGCCAGCTGAGGGCCAGATGCTGAGGGTGGTAATGTGGTGGTGAGGGCAATAGATGCTCCTGCCCTGGGGCCCAGGCTGATGCTGTTTCCATCTTCAGGGCCCTGTTTAGTTAGATTCCTACATAGCTTCTCCCTACTAGGTCAGGGTTCCAGGCTGCAAGCTGAGGAGGGAAGCTTGGGGCCGGGTGGGGGTGGGGCACTGAGACAAGCAGGTGGAAGAGCTCAGTTCCAGGTAAGCTCCTGGAACAAGGGCAAAAATTGTTAGCATCACTGATGGCGATCCACAGAGACTCTGGGCCAATCTTGGATGGGGTTGGACTTCCAGGGCAGATAGAAAGTAGCCCCTCTGGGTACCTGCAGGAGACTTTTGCAACCAGCTGCAGGACCTAGGGCTGAGGACTGGCTTATTCTGCCCACCACATCGTTCCATTGTGAGTTAGGCAGAGCACAGTTTCAACTGGCAGGACAAGTATCCAGGCTGGCCAGCCTGAGGGATTTTGGCAGATGGACTGAAGTCACCTGCCTGTTCATCCATGGACCCAGTCTGCCTCCTCTTTCTGCCAGTGTGCCTCTGTTTTGCACACTCCCAGCTTGACCCTCATGTAACCTTGCCCTCCTGGCTCCTTTCACAATAAACCCCCTGTCCCCTGTCTCCTGTGATTCTTCCCTGAAATGTCCCCTACTTTCTATCTTGCTGTTTTGCGTGCAGGCTGAGCAGCTTTCTGGGCCCTTTGCCTGTACTCAGTGTGTTAGGGCAGTGGAGGTGGCAGGCTCCTTGCTAACCCTGGTCTTTCCCCACAGGCTGCCACCATGGCCCCATGCCCCCTGGTCGCCGACACCACTGCAGATCTAAAGCAAAACGTTCTCGCCACCACCAGACCCCCCAGCCTGAAACTCCCTGCTATGTCTCCCATCCTTCACCTATTCTTTCTTCTGGACCCTGGCAACCCCCACCAGCCACTACCCCCTTCCCAGCAATGGTCCAGCCCTACCCGCTCCCAGTGTTCTCCCCTCGAGGAGGTCCACAGCCTCTTCCCCCTGCCCCCACATCTGTGCCCCCTGCTACTTTCCCTTCTCTTTTGGTGACTCCAATGGTGGCCTTGGTGCTCCCTAACTATCTCTCCCAAACCCCACCTAGCTATCCGTATGGAGTATCCCAGGCTCCTGCTGAGGGGCCACCTACTCCTGCTTCCCACTCACCTTCTCCGTCCCTGCCCCCACTGGCCCCCAGCCCCTCACACCGCCCAGACTCCCCACTGTTCAACTCGAGATGCAGTTCCCCACTGCAGCTCAATCTGCTGCAGCTTGAGGAGCCCCCCCGCACTGAGGGGGGTACTGCTGCAGGGGGCCCTGGAAGCAGTGCTGGGCCCCCGCCTCCCAGTGAGGAGGCTGCTGAGCCAGAGGCCTTCATGGTGAGCAACAACTCCCTCTCCCCCTCTCCCACGGCCCTCAGCCCTTGCCCCTCTTCTGCCTGTGTGCTTCTTCCTGGGCCAGTTCTCAGCTTGCTGGAGTTGGTATGGGTGGGAGGTTCAAGAGGAATTTGTGAATGAAGCAGAAATGAACTGCTTCCCCTGGGAAGGGACAGTTCTGTCTGTCTGACAGGTGGTGAGGACATCCAGTGTACGTCAGTATACGTTGTAAACGTGTCTCTGCCGCTTAGAAAGGGTCCAGCATTATGTTCCGTACCCGTCAACTGTCCTGTCAGCTTGGCCCTGTGTCATGGAGCAAGGAGCAAAGATCTGTGGGGTCGGGTGTGCCTCCTTTGGTGCCCCTCCCCCAACAGAAGCATTTGATAAGAAGCACTGTGGTGTGATTCCTTACCGCCTTCCTGTCCTACTCCACTCTACTCCTCTAGGTAGAGGTAACCGAGTCCTCCAATCAGGATGCACTTTCAGGCTCCAGCGACTTGCTGGAGCTCCTACTACAAGAAGATTCTCGCTCTGGAACAGGCTCTGCAGCTTCAGGCTCTCTGGGCTCTGGCTTGGGCTCTGGGTCTGGTTCAGGATCCCATGAAGGGGGGAGCACCTCAGCCAGCATTACTCGTGAGTGCTCCCTCCAGTACTTCCCAGAGTAGGACAGAGATGGGGAGGTGGGAAGGTAAGCCCTAGTTTGGCCTAACTTGTTAAGGCCAGTGGGCTGGACACATGGCCTTAGAGGATGACCTGGTTGAAGCCTCTCAGGGTGGATGTGTTAGCCATCCTGGCTCCATTGGCCTTCCCCACCTCTCCACAGGCAGCAGCCAAAGCAGCCACACAAGCAAGTACTTTGGTAGCATCGACTCTTCAGAGGCTGAGGCTGGCGCTGCTCAGGCCAGGACTGAGCCCGGGGACCAGGTCATTAAGTATGTGCTCCAGGATCCTATCTGGCTGCTCATGGCCAATGCTGACCAGCATGTCATGATGACATACCAGGTGCCCTCCAGGTGAGTATTAGAGGACTCATCTTCTTCCCTTTGAGAGCAGTACAGACTAGCCTACCTGCACTGCCCAGATAATCTGAGGTCTGACCTGGAGGTGCTCATTGTGCATATGCCCCTGTCCCTTGTCAGGGTTCTCAAGTTGAGAGTAGGTTTCCTGGTGTTGAAATCTTACTTACCTTCAAGGAAGGCACAGAAGACAATGGGTTAAGGAATTGTGGTTGAAGATGAATGCTAACCCCATGGGTCTTGAACCCCATGGGTCTTGACCCTGGATCCTAGCCTCTACCATCTTCACACAGGGACACAGCCTCTGTGCTGAAGCAAGACCGGGAGAGACTCCGGGCCATGCAGAAGCAACAGCCACGGTTCTCAGAGGACCAGCGGCGGGAACTGGGTGCTGTGCACTCCTGGGTCCGGAAGGGCCAGCTGCCTCGGGCCCTTGATGTGATGGTGAGAAAAGTCTGGGAGGCTGGAAGAGACTAGTGTGGAAAATACTGAGTTATCTCTGTGTCTTTGGATCATTAATTCTGAAGGATGCTAATCCCATAAATCGGCTGCTGGATTATGTAATATGTTTTTTTTTGTTGTTGTTGTTGTTTTTAATGTACTTTGGTGTAAGGATACCAGATCCCCTGGAACTGAAATTACAGACAGGTGTGAGCTGCCATGTGGGTGCAGGGAATAGAACCCGGGTCCTTTGGAAGAACAGCCACTGCTTTTAACCACTGAGCCATCTCTCCATATAATATTAAGCCACATTACCTCACAAGACTTTACAGAGCTTCTTTGACCCATCATACCACCCCATTGTAGTGGGGTCTCAGTAGAGCACTTTAAAAAAATTGTTTAAAAGATTTATATGTATGAGTGTTTTTGTCAGAAGAGGGTGGTCTGGGACTGGAGTTAAGGATGGTTAAACCACCATATGGGTACTGGTATCTGAAGCTGGGCTCTTCAGCCCCCTCAGTAGAGGATTTTCCAAACTTATTAGACTGTAGCCACATGTGTGGACTGGTTTCTTGGAGATATTTTGGGACTCACTGTTAAGGGTGGTTGCTGGGTTTGCAGATTCCTGGAGAGGATCCTGCCTAACTCATATCCCGCTTTTTCCTCCAAGGCCTGTGTGGACTGTGGTAGCAGCATGCAAGATCCTGGCCATTCTCATGACCCACTCTTCTCAGAACTGGGTAGAATGGGGCTGGAGCCCATGGAAGAGGGTGGAAACGCATCCAGTCCAGCTTTACCTTCGGAAGAAAACGGCACCAGCTAGACTCCATTTTGAGGCCACTTGCAGCAGACTATGAGAGGCTTCTTTTTCAACCATGTTGGGGTTCTTAGAACTCAAGATATGGCTGGGGC